GGGAGCTGCGGGGTGAGTCACGTGCAGGAAGGCGGTTGCATCAGGAAGCGAGCTGGTTTTCCAGCTGGGGCTCCCCAAAAAAACCTCCTTCCATCCCTCTCCAGCGCCATGGAGAAGGGATCCAGCTCCTCGGCCAGCAGCCCGGTGCCTTTGACCTCCTCCTCCACGGCCACCTTCAAGGAGGAGTTGCTGTGCCCCATCTGCTACGACCCTTTCCGGGAAGCCGTCACCCTTTGCTGCGGCCACAATTTCTGCAAAAGCTGCGTGAGCCGTTCATGGGAGCACGGGAATCATGTCTGTCCCGTCTGCAAGGAGGCCTCCTCCTTCGCTGACCTCCGCATCAACCACACGCTCAACAACCTGGTGGAGATGATCCTCAAGGAAGAAGGGAAGCACCGGGGCCGGGCCACCGCCCTCTGCCCCTTGCATCATGAAAAAGCCAAACTTTTCTGCCTGGAGGATAAGGAGTTGGTGTGTTTCGTCTGCCAGAGCTCCAAGCAGCACGAGGGGCACAAGATGCGGCCGGTGCAGGAGACAGCGGAGGATTTCAGGGTGAGGGGACACCCCGGGAATATCGGGAGGGATTCATAGCGTGGAAAGGGGTGCAGCCTGGGCATGGTTGCCCTCATTGGGGTGATGCTCGGAGGGTTTTGGTGTGGTTCCCGTGGCTCCTTCATCCTCAGCCAGGGCCAGGTTGGATCCGGCCACGCTGGTTCTTGCGGCAGCAGGTTCTTGCGGCAGCGCCTGCGGGTTGGGAGCGTGTATTTGGGGTGGGAGTTGCACAATTTGCCCCGGCCGGGGAGGGACGTGGGGTGGGGAGGCCGCCCCGAGCCCTGCAGGGAGGAGGAGGAGGAGGCAGAGGAGGAAGAGGAAGATAAAAAGGAGGAGGAGAGCTCCAGCACCTGGGCGTCCTGCCAGGATCTGCCGCGTTTCCCAGCCGCTGCTGCCCTTGACGTGTGCCAAATTTCAAACGTCGCGGGAGCGGCCTTGGGGCCGCTGTTTTGCAAGGCTTGGCCAGGGATCCAGGAGCTGTCGGCGGCAGCAGGGACAGGCAGGGACTTGACGTCGCATGGGTAGGAAGGCTTAAAACCAGGGGAGGATTCGCTGCGGGGCAATTTGGGGTGGCTCTTTGCGCGTCCCCAAGCCGAGCTGACCCCGTTGGGCCTCGGCAGAGGAGGGGAAGAGTGAGTTGATGGAGGATCCTGCTTAACCTGGTCCTCCCGCGTTTGGGACTCTCATTTTTCCACCTCGGAAACGCTGGGCGTAGGCTCACGAGGGCGACTCCTCCCCGCAGGCCAAGCTGAAGAACATGGAGACCTCCCTGCGGGACAAGGCGAAGAATTTTGGGACCGTCCATCGCTCCTACGAGTCCATCTTCAAACACAACCAGGTGAAGCGATCCCCTCCTGGCAAGGCGACGCGACACACGTGTGCGCGTACGTGTTACACGCGTGTACACGCCCTGGGCGGGAATGCAGCTGGGTTTGGGCTGGAGCCATCCCTGAGTGAGGATACTGGGAGGGAGGAAGGACTCGGATGGAGATTTGGGGCCCGGGACAGCAGGGATGGTGATTTTTGGGAGGTCCTGGTGGGATCCCTGAGTGCTGGAGCTGGTTTTTGGGGGATGTGGGGGCTCCAGAAGGAGGCGCTGACATCCCTGCGTGGGGCAGAGGGAGGCGGTGCGGCTGGAGGAGCAGATCAAGAGGGAGTTTGAGAAGCTGCACGAGTTCCTGCGGGGCGAGGAGAAGGCGCTGCTGGAGCAGCTGCAGGAGGAGGCGGGGCACAAGCGCAGCTTCCTGGAGGAGAAGATGAAGCGGCTGGGGGAGGAGAGCCGGGCCCTGCTCAACGAAGCCCGACAGCTCCAGGAGGACCTCAAGGAGGACGACTACACCTTCCTCATGGTATAGCCCTGTTGGGGTGCGAGCAGGGAGGTGGGCGACCCTTTGGGTTGTTGGCGACCCCCTTCTGAGCCGAGGTTTGACGCCCAGTGTCTCCTTCTCTTGCAGAGCCACAAGAACCGCAAGCGCAGGTAGGTCCTGGTCCCCGTTGTGTCCCCTGCCTGGTGATGCAGGGTGTTTGGGGGTGGCTGAACCTCCATATCCCCTCCTTGGGGTCTTCTGCCTGGTCTGAGCCCCAAATGAATTCCCTAACCTACATTGTCCCTGGCAGAAAGTGCTGGGGGTTCCCATGGCCGTGGTGCTGGGCAGGATGGGGGAGCAGCACTGAAAGTTTTGGGAGAACCATTAAAACCCTGATATTGGAGGGGGGATATTTGGTGCTGGGACCTTCCTGGGGCGATTCGGGACCATCTTGGGGTGAGTCCCTTCCTGCCCTGGCCCCATCTTCATCCCCTGCCCCAGGATCGCCTGCACGGCCGAGGAACCAGAGGCTGTGCCCTTGGGGATGCTCCTGGATGTCGCCAAGTACCTGGGCTCGCTGCAGTACAACGTCTGGAAGAAGATGCTGGACACCATCACCGTCGGTGAGTGCTGGGGGGTTGTGGTTGCCCAGCCTTTGCGTGGGGCGACCCCAGGGGCTGTGGGTGCCATAGAGCAGCCATGCGTGGGGTTGGTGGGCTTAGGGAAGGGGTTTGGGGAGCAGAAAGGGTGCTCTGGGGTGCTTGCACCCTGAAAAGGAAGCCCTGGAGGGGGCGTTTCCCCATGATGAGTTGGGTTGTCCCCAAAAAGGAAAGGATCATAGAATAATTGAGTCACCAAGGTTTAGAGAGACCTCCAAGATCATCAACCCAACACCTCCATGGCCACCAAACCATGTCCCCAAGTGCCACATTGACCACCTCCAAGGATGGGGACTCCACCGCTGCCTTGGGCAAAGTTTGCTGCCCAAGAAGCCCAGCCAGACCCCACGATCCACCCAGGAATGTGCATCCTTACCTTTGAAACCCCTCATCCCCACTGGACCTGGAGGGCCAAGGTCTCCTTGGTCCCCTTTCAAGCCACGGGGTCCTGGTGGTCCTCTCTCCCCTGGCAGCCCTGGATGTGAGGACAAAGAGGCAAAATGACCTTGTTGCAGCCCCCAGCTCCCTCATTGCTCCCCATCATTCGGCTGCTCCAGCCCCCTCCCCAGCTCCCTTGCCCTTCTCTGCCCACGCTCCAGCCCTTCAATGTCCCCCTTGCAGTGAGGGATGGGCAAATGTGGGGCTGCAGCCCACCCATGAGCTCATCCCTGCTCAACCCAAAAAGGTCATCAGAGAGTGGCAGGGACTGCCCAGGGCAGTGGTGGAGTCCCCATCCCTGGAGGTGTTTAAAAGCCAGCGAGATGAGGTGCTGAGGGCCATGGTTTAGAAGTGGCCATGGTAGAGTTGGACTTGATGATCTTAAAGGTCTTTTCCAACCATAACGACGCTATGATCCCAAACCCTAACACGCTTCCGTATCCCCACCGCAGTCCCCTTCAGCTTTGACCCCAACTCAGCAGCGGGGTGGCTCTCGGTGTCCGAGGATCTCTCCAGCGTCACCAACGGGGGGTACAAGCTGCTGTTGGAGAACCCCGAGCGCTTCGCCTCCGCCCCCTGCATCCTGGGCTCCCGCGGCTTCTCCAGCGGCTTCCACACCTGGGAGGTGGACCTG